CTTAATACTAAGGGAGGCTTGGGGTGAAAGCCCAAAGCGTGTGTTCCTCAAGGAGGGGGGGCTGTGGGGGGTTCCAAATGTATAGTAGGGATAGTGGGTAGGTCGGGCATGGCCGACCAATCTGAGGCATAGTCTAGCTTCTGCTTGCGTGCCTAACCTTGTTTTGCGTCCGGCTTGGGTCCAAGCCCAAGCTCCACAACATGCTAGCTGGTGGAGTACCCATGTCCTCGCGTTAGCCATCGGTATGCCGAAATAGCGCTAGACTTTGTTTGGCTCCTTTTTGCGTGCTGGTCCTGGCATTGGGATGCTAGTTGCTCGAGGACTGTTCCAAGTCGCTCCAGGCTCTTGTTCCTTTGCTCCTTGGGCTGTATACTCAAGAGTTGCTCCGTTGGTTAGGTTCTGTCACTCCTTGGCTCTATGCTTGGGAGTTTGGCACCGTTCCTTCGTTTAGTGGCCCAAGGCCTTGAACCTCGGGTTCTGCACCACTATCCTTTGGACATGTGGCATATGATATGTGGCATATGTCATGTGGCATAAAGAGGGTTTAGGTTCCGCTTCGTGGTGTTATCCTATGGTAAATCATCATAGGATAAAGGGTTAAAACCACGTGTGCTACAATAAAGAAGGAATTCCTAAGTGTCTATTTAGCCAAGCATACTTAGCCCGGTTTGTTAGTTCTCTTTTGCTCTGTCCTGCATTGACTTGACAAGAACCCTCGCGATATTGAGATTGGTCCCTTAATATTTGCTAAATGATAGTTTACTATGTCTGCCAAACACTCTTGCTATCATGCCCTTTATGTTAGTTTCAATTCGGTCTCAAATGCTATTTATGGAAAGCATCTAGATTTGTTCATTTGGCATATTTATGGAATGTAAAGATTATTCTGAACATAATGGTGTTCGTCCCGTGTCCAAATTTGCAATCTAGGGACATTCTATATTTAGTAAGTTTCGAACTTGTCTTAGAGACTAACTCTTGATACTAAAAGAGGCTTGAGGTGAAAGCCTAAAGCGTGTTTTCTCAGGGGAGGGGGGGGTGCAAGGGGGGGTATGGGGGGTTCTAAATTTATAGTAGGGATAGTGGGTAGGTCAGGCTTGGCTGACCAACCTAAGGCATAGTCTAGCTCCTGCTTGCATGCTTGTCCTTGTTCTATGTCCGGCTTGGGTTTAAACCTAAGTTCTCTTCCATGCTAGCTGGTGGAGTACCCATGTCCTTGCATTAGGCCACTAATATGCCAAAATAGCGCCAGACTCCATTTGGCTTCATTTTGCATGTTGGTCCTGGCAATGGGATGCTAATTGCTCTAGGACTGTTCCAATTCACTCCAGGCTCCTGTCCCTTCGCTCCTTAGGCTATATGCTCGAGAGTTGCTTTGTGGTCCGGTTCCGTCACTCCTTGGCTCAATATTACACTCTTTGTCCTTATTACCCATTTGAGAATGTTGAGACCACTATCATGATTGATAAAAATGCTCCTGTTACTTCTAAAACAACAATTTAGAGCAAGAGAAATGAAGAAATGAACAACACGGTGGAAAGCAGCAAGAAATTTACTCCATAAAACTTTCCATTATATTTGTAATTTACATATTAATTCATATAAAAAACTCTATTGCCTACCTATATCACAATCCTCTCATATGATAAAACTAAGGTATATTTTTGTAGTGAATCCTCATTAAAAGTTTTTGGGAGTTGTTTGTGAATAATAATAAATGAAATCAAAATCTTTCGAAAGCCTCAAAAGTAATATCACATCAAAGAATCAACTTTATCTACATTTCCAAGACTGAAAGGCAATGTCACACAAGAGAATGGTAGCATGCCAATGTGCTCTGCCACTATAATGTGTTCTATATTTCCTTGTAGTCTATTTCCCTAAACATTTAGCATGTATAGAAAAGAATATATGTGTAGCAAAGTAGGATTTCATCATAATGATAGAGCATGTGTATATATGATAATATAAAACTCTAGAAGCTCTTATGTTTACAAGCAAGTTATGATTATAAAGCCCTATTTTCAAGACTAACATTTAAAGAATTTGAGTATTGCTAGTGTCATAATAAATAAACCTCATTCCCAAGACTAAAACTTCATATATAAACTATCTAGAAAAGTTATAGTCATCGTAGTTTTTTGTTCTCCTTGAGTTCCTTGGAAGTTTGTATTGAAATGGCTCGAAGGAAAGTCATTGCTACTCGTACTTGTTCCCTCAACATTTCATATCAATCTCCACCTCCATCCTCAAGTTTTACCAACATTCCACTTTCATCTCCATATAACAATCTTTTTTCTGCTAAGGGCTCTAGTGAAGCTAAACTAGAGCTCCCTATATATGAAATTCTAGATTTTGCTACTAAAGAGGGATTGCCTTTAGGGCTTCAGGAGCAATGTCACATGTTTTTGCAAGATCTTGCTTCTGATATGGTGGGACTACTTGAAAGCACAAAATGCTATTACATTCAGTGTCCAATATGCTACTTTTTCTTAGACAAAACAAATGGCTTTATGAGTTTATAAACGCTACATTGGCTAGTGCAAAATATGGGGTTTTTAGGCCACCCTACAGTGGAATGTAAGATCTAGAATTAATTTGCTATACTATAGTATTGTCACTTTTAAAAGAAAAAATATAATAAAATGATATTAGTTGTAGGTAATATACTTTGTTCTAGAAGGTGCTGTTATATGACATACAATTGTTTACAAGATGTTGAAGGAGGAGATGGCAACACACAAGCGTTACAAAGTGATGATGACAGATGAGAATGATAATTTGTAATTATGATATTTGACCCCCAAGTTCGGACATATTCTAGAAGTGTTATGCCGATATGGGCACTAATAAGGAACTTTGTATCCCATGCTTGAAGTAGCTCTTCAGCAACTGTAATATTCTAAGTGATATAGAGTTTCTCCTTCATCATATTCTCAAGTTTGCTCTCCAACCTTTTATCATTGTTATGATGCCAAGTGTTAAGGAGCTCCAAGCAAAAGGTTTGTTCATTGAAGGAGAGCTTGCTTTTTGGATAAATTCTTCAAGTGCTTTACCATTTCCTGTAAGGATAAGGATTTCAAAGTGAAATGAGAAAGATAAAAAGGAACTAACTTATTACCATGAGAACATATCTCTACAGCCAATCTTTATCACATCGGATGTTTGCAATCACAAGTAGCTTCTTCACCTTTGATTTTTTCGAGTTCAACATGTGCTGCTCAATTTGTTGCAGTTTAAGGTTCTTTTACACTTCATCCATCACTTGCGTAATCTTTAAATATGAGTTTTGCTCCACCTTGACAATTGGCTAAAAGGAAAACTTGTGAGTAGAAAACACAAGTTCATGCAAAAAATGATACCTTTACTTAAATTGCAATTGAAAAATCCATAGGCACCTAATACCAAGTAAGCAACTCTTGGCCTTTATGTGCTACAAGCTTTGCTTGAACTGCTTCCATAACCTCATAACTATATAGCATTTGGATTTCCTCAAGAGAAAGCATGCTAACATATTGAAGGTGCTCGATATCATGGACCAAGGTATGTGCTTGGAAAGCAAATTGATTAAGCCTGTAACATAGTTGGTGAGAACAAAAGTTACTAGTAAGGGATTCTTACATGTTGATTTTGTGACATGCCAAGTTGAGCCTCATAGTTTGGTTTCAATCCTCTGGCTCCACAAGTGTCATTGGAACACAAATATGTTGCTTGTCATCATCTTGGAACTTCTCTTGAATACACCTCCAGAACGCTAGCCACCAGTGGTTTCCATCAATAATGAAGAACATCTAGCCTACAAAGGCTTGTGTCTCCTTATGACATGCCATCAAAGTATCAAACTTGAGATATCCTCTGCCATATTTAATCCTAAGTTTGTTTAATCTATGTAATTTGTTCCAAGGAATGATGACAACACAATAAATGATCTAGTAGTGTGCCTGAATCCAACCTCTATGAAAGAGGTATAAATCATAGTTACGAACACGAACACGGAACACGAACACGAGCCTCAGATTTCAGGAACCCGAACACGGAACACGATCACGGCCCACGATGGCTCACGAATATTCTACTGAATATTCTAAGAATATGTTATTTAAAAATTATATTCTATTTCTTATTATATTATTATAGGAATATGCTATATTTTATTATATTATTCTTAATATTTTTATTTGCACATAAACTACTTCACACTTTTAAACTACTCAAATATCCTGCATCTCATCGTCATCTTCAACCTCATGATCTTCGACCTCACGATCTTCGACATCATCTCCATCTTCCTCTTCCTGTCCTGACTCAAGCTCGTCTTCAGGATGAGGAACTGTCTCCAGGACTTTGTAGCTTACAAACTTGTCGTAATCACGATCATTTTTGCAGGTTAACAACCTGGTGTTGCAAGCCACAAAAACCAGATCCACTGTCCTGTCCATGGTAAGTCTGTTCCTCTTTTTTGAAGAAACATGCTCGAAAGTACTGAACAATCTCTCCACCGAGGACGACGAGCATGCCTGACTTAGAACTCGAATGGCCAACTTCTGAAGAGCTGGAGTTTCATAACCATAGTCCTCCCACCAACGTACAGCTCCCCTCTTAGTGCGATCAGCCTTAGCATCATATGAGTTGAAAATGCCTCCTATCCTCCGGTAAGTTAAAAGCTCATCACGTATCACATCCCTCTCACTGGATGTAAACATGGCCAGCAGATAAGCATTCCAGTCCTTCATGACCTCTCTGTTAGCATGCTTTTCATACTCCTGAAACTCGGGGTCCAACATGTACGCCACCGAGTGCATGAGCGAGTGATACTCATGCCACCTATTAGACATGATCTGATGAAGTTCCCTGTACCTGCCATAATCCGACTGTCCTTCCTCTAAACTTGCATCCAACCTGTTCATGCACTCATATATCTTTCCAATCGCAGGTATATCACCGTCCACAACACGAAGAAGCAGCATAACATCCTTGGACACCTCTAGCATGTCCTTAACCTATTGCCAAAAACTGTCATCAAAAACCGTTGCATAACTGTCCCTTCCTGCTCTCGACTTCGACTCAGGCCTTGCTCTGTACGCAGGGCATACGAACATCTGTTGTAAAGCTTCTCGGAGCTCCACCAGCCTCTCCATCATAATGAAGTTGTAGCCGAACCTGGTATCACAATAACGCAGCAATCGCTTGTGAGTAAACTCCGCCAGCAGTGCCACTATATGAGAGTGGTTTCTAACGAAGATCACCAAAGACTTTCCACGCTCCAGAAGTGTTGCCATCCATGGAAGTACACCGAAGTCTTTCAAGGCATTGTTCAAGCAATGGGCAAAACATGCTGCCCATTGAATTTTCGGGTACCTCTGTTGCAAAAGTGCTGCTGCTGCTCTGTTTGCATTTTCCCCATCGGTCACAACCATGACAACGTTCTCTGCACCTACAATGTTAATGCCTTCTTCCCAGCAGCGCAGAGTATTTTCAGCTGTTTTTCCTGTTAAGGAAATGTCGATAGCCTTCAAAAAAGCTCCTCGTCCTTGACTATATGCCACAAGCCCCATGATATGCCGATTCCTCCTATCTGCCCACCCGTCTGCGCATATGGTTGCACCCCTCTGCTCCCACTGCTTCCTCAAGGACGCCATCTCAATGTCAATGAATCGTTTCTCTTTCACCAAAAGCTTATCCCGGAGATCATCATATTTTGGTGGTGCATAAGGCACACCATGCCTGGCAACTTCCTGTATCATGTTGAGGAAGTAAGGTGACCGAGCCTTGACAAATGGAATGTGTTCATTCCAGAAAAATCTTCTGATAGCCACATCAACTCAGTTCTTCCGCTTAGGATCCATCAAATCAACAATATGGACTTGACTCTGTTTGCTAAAAAACAGGGAACTGCAGCCACTTCCACTTGACTGGGATGATACCACCGGTGGAAACCCTTGGACATTGCCATCCATTCTCATAGAAGCACCACCAGATTCATTCGGCCGTTTCTTCCCCCTTGCCCCTTTCTCGGAATCAATAACCTTTTGCATATTGAGCAGATCCGCTTTCTTGTTACCTGGGATGAGAGGACAACTCACAATATCCTTGCTGCCTGGGCCTTCTCCTAACAGATGAGCTCGCACACGATCAACACCACTCAGTTTGTTCACCATTGGGCAGTATTTGCATGACCATAATTTGTGGCCATGCCCCCTGCTCTCAAGAACACTTACCTCATCCCACCATCGCGAAGAAGGATGCTTTCGCAGTATGCTGGATTGCTGCGCCATGCTTGTTTGCCTTGGATTGCTGCTGCTGTGCCCTGAAATGGTGCGCCCTGGCTGGATTGTCGTGTGATGCCATGCGCCCTAAAACCAGAATATTCCGCGCGAGAATATTCTGAACAGTGGTCCGTGTTACTAACACGGACCACTGTTCACGAACACGGCTGTGGGAACACGACCCATGGCCGTGTTCGTGAAACACGGTGAACACGGCCGGGATCCCGGCCGTGTTCGTAACACGGGTATAAATAGCCATATTGAGGTCATAAGCTAAGCGCACCCAATGACTTTGCTTAAGACAACAAAGTGGAATCTAAAGATGTTGGGATCCTTTCCAAGCCATTTTACTTAACACCTTGTTGATAGTTCATTCTTAAGCCTGGACAATAGTCTCGCATACTCGCTCATTCAAGATTGTGTCGACCTCTAACATAGTTACCACCTTATTTCTATGATCTTTAGGAGCAGCAACATGTCTGCCATTTCTACCACCAAGATCTGCCCCACCACCTATAGCACAAGGTGCCTCATTTCTGTCACCAAGTTCTGCCCCACCACCTATTGTTGGGGGAAGGAGGGGCGCCTCCCCCAACACTCGCTCAAACATGAGAAATGCTTCACTGCTCTTCGCAAAAATGCCCCCCCTTGCCCTTGTGAGACAAGGGTTTTATACAAGGAGGATGGGAAATATTCTGAGGACCAGAATATTCCTTCTCTCTCTCTCACTCTCTCAGTGGCCACGCCCTAACATGCGACCACGGTGGATCGCGTTGGCTCCAGACGCGCGAGAACCCTCCGTAGAGTGTAGAGTGTACCTCTGCTACTGATGCCAAGTGCTGGTAGCTACGTGAAATAGTAAAAACTTTAGAAAACAAAGTGGAAAAGAAAGAAAAGAGGTAGGTGTGAAGTTTGGAGATAGGGAAGAAAACCCAGTGGGAAACCCTGTAGTCAAACTAGACCCTAAAGGTGAAGAAAAGGTGCAGAAAAAGTGTGAAAAGAGGAGGAAAATAGAAGAAAAATAGTGAGTACCCAAAGAACTTAACCAATACCTGGATTTCAGCTCAGGAAAGTGTAATATGCAAATGCAGCCTCTTGATGACTTCCGGTATGCTCCAAAAATTGGCCGAAATCGAGAAAGAAAGAGAGGTAGAAGAGGGGATGCATTGCCCAAGGGTGGTAAGTGTGGAAATGATGAAAGATGGAGTGATATGGTGGAGCGCTGAGATGGTGGTGGCACTTTGAAAAGGTGGCCATGGATAACCGTTGGCCTGTAGAGTAAGTGCTGACCACTCGGAGTAGCCGATAACCGGTAACCAATAACTAGTAACCAGGGATTGGGGACCTGTAACCTATAACCGGTAACCACCTACTCTCGCTCCTACACCTGCGCCTGCTCCAACACCGATATGGTGGAGCACTGAGATGGGGTGGTACTCTAAGAAGGTGGCTAGTCTGATGTGTTGGATTGAAAAAGTTAGCAGCTGAAAAGGACGGCATAGTCACTAGGTTGCCGGTAAAAGGAGGTGGCATGTGTCCACTGAGTGCTGGAGCAGAAGAAAGTGGCTTAAGCTTCTATGGCCTTGCCTAAAGATCCACCTAGATGCCTTGAGTGAATAGGTTCACCTGGTTGGAAGAAAGTCGCTCCAGAAAAGCAAATGGTTGTAAGGACATCTCGAAAACAGCACGTCCAAATGAGGTGGTGTCTGTTGCTACTGGTGCATGTATGTGTGTCCGTGGTATGATGTAAATGTGACCTCAAGCAGAGATGTGAATGATGGTGAAAGAATGAAAGATGCAAGACGGGCATCTAGAGATAAATCCAGGCAACGCTGCTGGAAGTGATTGGTGATGGAATGGTGAGTGTAGATGATATGGAATGAGTGAGGGGAATATGTGGGGTGTAGTAATGGTAAGTGAAGGGCCAAAGAACCTGGAACATAGACTGAGCCAAGCGAGGAACCTCCATACAAACGGCAATGCAGCCTGAGTGCGAAATCCAAGGCATAGGCCACAGTCCAATGGAGAAACACCCTCTGAAAGTAAGAAAAGTAGCTATGAAAGTAAAGAGAAAGAAAGAAAGAAAAAGAAAAAGAAGAGAAAAGGAACGCCTCACCGGATGAAGCATTTGAGATGAGAGTGGTTGTGAGCGTGTGGGAGCTCACGTCCATCAGCATCAACTAGCACATATGCTCCACCTCCAATGTATCGCTGGACAAAGTAGGGGCCGGTCCAGCGAGGGGAGAACTTCGAAGGTGGTGTAAACTCCTTGAGTAGAACGAGGTCACCATCCTCGAATGGTTCGGCAAACCATTGGTGATCAATGACTGACTTGATCTTCTGCTTGCCTCAAATGAGATGTTCAGCCGTGGATTGTTGCTGTTCTTCCAAGGCAAGAACCTCCAAGTCACGTGCATGAAGCTTGTCCTTATCGCTAAGCTACATCGCTGCTGCGTATCAAAGTGAAAGTGAGAGTGATGGCACCTGGATCTCCACTGGAAGTATGGCCTTTGTCCCATAGACAAGGGAGAATGGGGTTGCAGAGATTGATGTCTTGAAGGACGTCCAAAAGGCCCACAACGTCGTAACCAAGTGCTCGTGCCAACACCTTGGGTGATCCTCCACAAGCTTTGAGATGACTGTCTTCAATATCTTGTTGCTGGACTCCGCCTGGCCATTGCACTCAAGGTAATAGGTGCTCCTCTTCACATGCTTGACCTGTAGCCGTTGGAGAAGATGCATCACACACTTCCACTGCATGTGAAAAGTTGGCTGGAACTCTTGAATGGTCACAATCCAAGATAAAGTACAAGGACTGTGAACTGATTGCTGTAAAAGAAAGGTCAGCACAATAAAAAAAACATGGGAATGGATATGGGCTCCAGCAAGAAAGTGACAAAATCGTTCTGGTGGTTGGAATACTGGGGGCTCCACGGTAGGAAATTCTGAACTCAAAGAGCTATAACTCGCATGCAGCAAGTTTGATTGGCTTGATTCTTTCTGCAAGTTCTGTGTTTGGATGTCATCCTCCATCTCCAAGAAACGGCATGACAAAATACACTTGGAGTCGTCAGCTACTGCAATTTTAGTACTAGGAAGATGTTGGCTGTGTGATACCTCAGATAGTTGCTGAGAAGGATTGAGTTCGGCTGTGTCCTGCGAAAGATGGACTCGGTCTGGGGTGACTGTGTCATCAAGCTCCATAAGAGGGAGTTGGTCCCATGCAAGAAACGAATCGAGGAGCCCTTCCTCTATCAAGAAACACTCCGAAAAGCTGGATATGGGAGCCCATACTTTAGAAGCCCCGTTATCAAATAAAGAGGGCCTGTCTAGAGGCTCAGCCTTACTCTCAAATAAAGAGAGTGAAGTTGAGAGATGTCTCAGGCTACCTGACTCACCTCCAACCATGTCAACCACATTGCATGAGAAAGCATCCATCATATAGATGGTCGACACCACCGCCAACTCAGGAAAAACCTCTGTGAGCTCAGGAGGAAAGTATGGTATGGAGGCCATCTTAGTCCGAGCTTGCTGGGCTTGCTGAGAAAGAGCTCTACCGTGGTTGTTGAGAAAGGTGGCACTGTGGGTTCCATCGCTAATTTCCATCTTGCCTTGTGCGCTGTCAATGGTGCAATGGGTTGTGACTTGCCATGAACGGCCAAGGATGATAGGGTCCTTCAAAGAGGATGTTCCAAGATGTTGGTAGTCAACCATGAGGAAATCCACCTCAGAAATAACACCCTACACAGAAACCTTGACACCACAGCAAATTCCCGCTGGAGGAATAGTGTGGTTGGCGAAGGTCTTGAGCATGATGGAGGAGCTCTCAGTGATCTGTAGCTGTGCTGAAAGGGTAGCTTCAAGAGAGATAATGTTGCTTCCAAAACCGGAGTCAACCAAAGCATCCATCCTATAAGAGGAAGTACCAATCTGCACCAGGATGAAGAACGGATTAGGATCTCCACCGTATCTTGTCATGTCAACAATGTGCACTACTTGAGGAGTCCTCTTAAGAGTGTTCTCTAGTGTTCCTGATTGTGCAAACTCCTCCAAATGCTGGCCGAATCCCGGGACAAGACACAACATGTCTCGGAGCGAAAAGGTGACGAGAGTGTCAACTAGTTGTTGAAGAACCGGCTCCAGAACAGGAATAGCTATTGGTGAGATCTCAGGAGGAGAAGAGAGTAGTGACTTGAAGAGAGCTTATAAGCCACCCTTTGTGTCACCGGGCCTGATGCCAACGGAGATTCACTCTCAACCGGCACCAGGGGATCAGTGGCAGGTTGAGCGGCTACTTTCTTCTTTGCTTGGGCTCGAGTGGCTGCGGTTTGCTGCTGTTGCCTATAGAGTTCCTCGGCTACCAAAATCGTGTTGACCGATGAGGCTGGTGCCTTGCCTTTGCTTGATGAAGGGGCTGCCTCAATTGCTTGTCACTCCAACTGCTCCTGATATGTCTCTGGACCCCGAGACGATGTGGAGTTATTAGCGAAGGGATGTTGTTGGACACGTTGAGAAGATGGAGGCTGAAGCTCTGGGTGAAGCTTGAAGCAGCGCTGTGTGTTGTGTGTGTTTGTCTCACAGTGAGTGCACCAACAGGACTTAAATCCGCATTCCCGAGCTGTAACAGCCTCTTTCCTGGACTCCACCAGCTCTTGGAGTAGTTTTTCATGGTGTGATTGCTGCTGAAGAATGATCTCCTTCAGCTATTGCATCTTGTTGGCAAAGTTCTCAATAGCCAGAAGTGTATGCTCGATAGCAATGGGCTTTGTTGTGGATGGGTGAACAGCTGCACAAGGTGATTCTTATGGGGTGATGGTTTGGTCGAAATCAACTCTAGCAATCCCCAAGTCAACTAGAAGCTCTCTTTCCAGCTTCATGGCAAACAAAAATGC